TCCCTTGTAGATCTCAATAAGTTTTGTCCTTTTGCTACTTCTCCCAGACCCTGATCTGCCATCAACTTGCTTAAGACCGCAAGGTATGTCACGCATTGCTTTCCTTTGTCTCACTTTCCCTCTATCCGCCCTGTGAGCATCAGATTCTCCAAGCACTTTTTTCTCATTATGTGTCCCATAAATTTCATCTGCCTCACTCCGATGTTAAGTATAAGCTTCCTACTCGTTTACATCCTTTCCAAAACCACATCGTTGCTCGCACACTCGGTCCATGATATCCTTAGAAGCCTTCTGTAGAACCATACCTCCGTTGTCTCAAGTCTCTTCTTCATCTTTGAGGGGACCGTCCAAATTTCGCGGCCGCAAAGCAAGACAGATATTACGTCGCAGTTCAGTACTCTTCTCTTTGTTACCAAAAAAAATCTTCCTGTCTCGCAATAATCTGTGCAGCTTTTGGAATCCGTCTTTGGCCATCCCAAGACGTCTTCGGATCTCAGTGCCGCACTTACTGTCCACTGTCAGAACACTTCCCAGATATTTAAATTCCACCACCTGCATGATTTTAGTCTCCCCGAAATCGCATTTCGGGTTGAAAATCAGGTAGAGATGAAAATGCATAAAATTATATTTGGAGAGACAAAGCAAAGGAAAGGACAAAGTGTAAAGTATTTGCCCATTCTTCATTTCTTCGCGTGGATTATACGTACTAAGCCATGTCTGTATTCGAAACAATCATGAACCAGCAAACTAGATTGGGAGAGATAAGCGAGAGGAGGGGAAATCACAAAGGATGAGAGAAGAGACAATGGATAATCTTTGTTGCCAATCCACGTGTTTAGCGCGTTCATATTGCTTATAGAGAGGGTGCGATGAACAAATTGTCGCCTAAATGACGCAAAAATGAAACTGATCTCCTTTTAACAGATAAACAGGGTGCGATGGATAAATTGTCGCCTAAATGACGCAAAAATGAAAAATAACGCTGATCTCCTTTTGACAGATAAACAGGCTGCGATTGATAAATTCTCGCCTAAATGACGCAAAAATGAAAAATAACACTGATCTCCTGACAGATAAACAGGCTGCGATTGATAAATTGTCGCCTAAATGACGCAAAAACGAAAATAACACGGACTTCTCATTTTAACAGATAAACAGGGTACGATGGATAAATTGTCGCCTAAATGACGCAGAAATGAAAATAACACGGACTTCTCATTTTAACAGATAAACAGGCTGCGATTGATAAATTGTCGCCTAAATGCCGCAAAAACGAAAATAACATGGACTTCTCATTTTAACAGATATACAGCGTGCGATGGATAAATTGTCGTCTAAATGACGCAAAAAACGAAAATGCCACTGACATCTCATTTTAATTTATCCTTCACCAAAAATACTCAAAAATTCTCTTGAAGAACTAAAGATTAAATTTACTCAATAAAATCGCCATTGGCTTCAACGACGGCCCCCAGACGACTTCGGAATCTTCTGAAACTCTTCTGAGCGGTCACCTCGTTTAAGCTGTTTAATGAGGCCATAAACCGCGAATTTCAGATCATCTTTGGTGTTGCAAGTAGTTTTGTTGGTCTCTCGCTCAACTGTGCCCTACACAAAATAATCAAGGGGTTTGCAATCTGGGTAGTTAGGTGTTCAGATGTAAAGGGTGATGTGGTCGCAGAAATTGTCTGATATCCATGACTGGCTTCTCCTGCTTGTGTGGCATGATGCAGTGCCCAGCAGCCAACCTTTTAATCCAGGACAGCACTACCTCCTCATGGCACGTGATGTAGACCTCGGTGTTGAGTCTGAGGCCTAGTGTGAAGATGAATGGAGGCGCCACGTCGCCATTACTAGTAATCACTACAAACAACTCTTTCCAAATCCTCTGCACTGGCATCAGATTGACACCCAAACACACTGAAATCTTCGCATTGGACCTTCCAGTGCGGGTGCCATGCAGTACAGCATGTTGTTTCATAATATCTCTCGGAGTGAATTGCGTCATGGTAAGTTTTTTTTTTTCCACAGACGGGTGGCCAACTAATCCTACTATACTGTGCAGTCAATAAAATTGCAAACATACAACGCGCATGCGCGAAATTAAAAATATAAAATGGCGCCAATTAACCCATCCAATTCTGTAAGTGACATCTAGATAAATTGTCTTTTGCTGAAGACGAAATGAATGTAATTCTCTTAATTTCCAAAGCACTTTTCTTATTAGTCACACCAACTTCAACGGTGTTTGACTATGAATTGCAGCTTCCTTTTTCTAAGTGCCATATCACTTGAGGGCGTTGGCGATCATTGCTCTCCACAATTTCCTGTCCTTTGTAGCTGTTTATAAATGTCTTTTTCTAAACCTTGTTCAGTCAGCCATTTACTAAAAGTTACTAAGTAGGTTATGCGTTGTTTTCATCTGTCAACTTTTGTCTTCAATCTGTCCTGTGACCATCAGATATACAAAGAACTTTTTCCTAATTATGAAGACAGGAAA